AATGTCTCTTGGATTTAGGGGTTCAGTGCAGAGGGATCTCGGGGTCCAAAGGATACACTCCACTCCTGGTTCTTTCTTCGTGGTACTGAGATCCTCCCTTCTGCTGCTTAATGACTCATTTTATAACCAGCAAGATGGCAAAATTGACCAGTCACCACATTAGAGGTCCAAATTTTTATCATCAGTGTTAACATTCATACACAACTGAATCATGTAATCCTATGAACATCTTTCTCCACCTTCTCTTAAGTATTCTCATCGGGAGAAAAAAAATGTTTGGTGACAGTTATACAAAGGCTATTTCCAGAAGAGCGATATCAAGTTATTCACTGCATCATAATTGACTAATTCCTCATTCTTTTTATTTGAATTTAACGATCAGGTCACTAGAACGCCTCCCACACTCCTCATCACACATCCTAGAAAAGAGAAGTGATGTTGGTACACATTTATCTTTCTTGTACCTGCACTAAGGCACTCTGCTGGTACTGTTGGTTAGGTGTTGGACTGCTAACTGCAGCAATGCCAGCCACTCCGCAGGAGAAAGGTGAGACAGACTATCTGCTCTCATAATGATTTACAGCCTTGGAAACACTGTAGAACACGCCTGCTCAACTTACAGAGTTGCTGTAAGTCAGAATGGACTTGAGGGCAGTAGATTTGGGGTGTTTCGGTTTTGTGTCTGTACAAGGGTGGTGCATACATGGGAGATATCTCCTACACACAGGGGATTTCTTCCCTGCTGCTGCCGCCGCCATCAAGTTCACTCTGAAACACTGCCTGTTCCTGTGCCCTCTCTGTGATGGCTGGCATATTTGAGCCCATTGTTGTGACTGTCGTGCATTGCCTTCCAACCTACGGGCCTCATCGTCAAGCTTATACTGATCACTGTTCTGTTGCGTTTCCTAAGGTTTTTACTGGGCGTTTTCAAAAGTAGATTGCCAGGCCTTTCTACTCTTCATCAAGAATCTCCACATAACCTCTCTAGCATGGGTGATGCTGCAGGTTTCTGAAACGCCAGTGGCATAACATCCATCCTTTAGCAACATGGTGACCACCACCGGACACCAATTGATGAACGGGTGTGGACTGGCTTGTCTCTTTTTTTTAATTTAAAAATAAAGGCAAAAGAGGCTTTTGTGAGGGATCTAGTGATTGCAAGTCAGGGTAGCACAGAACAACTAGGGAATTGCAGAAGGTTCCCTGAGCCTACTTGCTTATAGGTTATAAAATCAAAATGAGCCAGTGGACCTGTTGCTACTATCATGCAGTATAACATGAATATACAAGGGGTAACCCCCACAAAATGGGGAAAAGTTCCAGTATGCATTTTCGCCTAGGCCAGCATGGAGCAACTTGCTCTTAGTTAGTGCCCCCAGTTGTGTTGCCTGGGAAGGTTCTCTCTGGTCACAGTGAATTTTTTCTTAAGCCCGAACCTTGTTTTTTGTGATCACCGATTTAAGAGAACAGCATGCAGCTGTGAAATTTTGTTTGCTGCAATAAAAATCTTTATAGAGATTTAATTTATTAGTTCTTTCGGGAGGGTAAATTCTAATAGATTAGATTACTAGGTCTAGAACATGCATACTCTATTCTGACCCAGCATAGAAGATATATATTTCATATTTCAATAGCCTTTGCTAAATTATTCTTTTAATAGCCTATGTTGATTTTGACTGTGCGTACAGGTAGCCATTCCACATAACCTCATTAAATGATACCAACATTTTAACAGTCTTGCCTGGAAATGCTTCTTAGATTTAAAATCTGTCATTGCTTTAAGTGAACTTAACTATTTTTTTCAAACATTTATTGACAAGTTATATATTTTTTATGTCGGCCATTTTTATATTGATTTGTAAAGCTGTTCACATAAATAAGGATAGTAATTCTTTTATCATATAATTTGTTTTTTCATGCTTTGTCTCTATTCCAAGTGATTTCCATGACTAGTTTTTTACACACATTTATTAGATAATCATCTTTTAATTTGCACAAATGCTCATTTTAGATCTTTGTGTACTAGGGATGTAATGTCAAAGAGAGGGAATAGCCAGGAATGGGGTGTGAAGGGTGTCTTATAATGCCAAGAATATGCTTCACAAATTCATGAGACTTTTCTGTGACTGGTCATGGGGCAGGCTTAGTAAAAGGTCAGTCTATTTCTCATGTGGCCACCAGAGCCACCCTTTGGACAAAGAGGAACTTTGCGGATATTGCCACACCCGTTGGTGCAGTAGTTCATTCCTGTGGAACAGCTTTCATTTCTTGAGCCCTGATTAAGGCACAGCCTTTTGACACCACTGGGCAGACACCAGGTTTGTGTTGTTCTTTAGAGGAAGGTCGTCAATTAGTGCAGGCCATCTCCATCTCCAAAAGTGCTGAAAGCCACCCGATTGAAACTATGCCTGTCTTCATGTTGGCCTTTGATGCACTCCACTTTGGTTTTGTATTTCTTGAAGCCATTCTGTATATTACAATCAGTCAGAATGTTCCTTTTAAAAAGTACATCTAAATTTTTTTTTTACTAGATGTGGAAGGGGAAGAAAAGGATGAAGGGAAAGGTCATTTGTAACAATAGAGAGATCTGCAAAAGATGATAGAAGCATCTGCAAAAGAAAGGTGATGGAGACAGCAGAGAACATGACCCTGCAAGAGTGGTCCACAGCTAGATGCTTGGATGGTCACACAGGCTGAACAGGTGCAAGGAGCAGTGTTGGAGTACACCCGTGAAGATATATAGGTTTAAGAGAGTTTATATGTCTATGCATACTTACATTTGGTGCAAATATATCCATGAATGTGATAGAGCATACCATGTACAAAATTACAAAAACTTCTTAGATGTAATGAAATACCTTGAGGGAATGAGTTGCTAGGCTTGGAGGCTCAGGATCATAGTTCCTCAGGACACCGAGGTTAATTGGCATAACAGAGTTGACAGAGACAGTGTTCTACATACTACTTTGGTGAGTAGTTACTGGTTTCGTAAAAGCTCATGAGTGACCATGTGAGGTGTAATTAGTGGTCTGGCAAACTAACAGACCACACAAACGTTAGTCTCTATAACCCTATACCAGAAGAAGTAGATGGTGCTCAGTTACCAATACCAGCTTCTCGAACAGGTTCACATTCGAAGGTCCTAGACGACTGGTGAATTCTACAAGATTGTGGCCTTTAGCCACCCATCAGTTCTGGAATTGAACTCTCCGCATATTAGAATCAGCAACCATTTAAGATGAAAAGTTTGCCATTTACCCAAGGACAAAAATCAGAGTGTTAGGAGAGAAGGAGGTATGGGAAAAGGGGGGAAAAGAGAGACATGATAGACGTGGGATAAGTGACAGTACATTAAAGGGATTGCAGTGGATCAATTAAAGCAACGTGTATGAATTATTGAACATAAAACTGTTGATCTGCTCTGTAAACTTGCACCTAACCCCAGTGAAACTTGTTTTCAAAGAAAACATTGTTCTTTTAAAAGTACCGATCTTTGGATCCTTGAGTTCTCTCCTATCTCCCAGCCTTTGAACGTGCTATTTCTTCGACCTAGAACAGTGGTTCTAATGGATATTCTAGGGTATTGTGTGATGTCTTTGAGGACTGCTGGTTCCAAAGATTCCCCTCTTCGCTCCCTTTGTGTCTTTTCTCCACATTAAATTGCATATTTGATTATCTCATCCAAACTGCAATCTCAGACAAAGACCAATAATAACTGGTCTTTTTGTCTCCTATGCGCCTGTATGACTGTGGTATCCTTACACCTACAGTGCCTGGCCCATAGTGTGGTCTTTTTTTTTTTAACAGTTTTATTGGCACATAATCCACATGATACAATTCAATAATGCAGTCACATCAAGAAGAGTTGTACAATCAGTATCACAATCATTTTTAGAACATTTTTTCTTTCTTGTATTCAATTCTTATTAGCTCTGCATTCCCCATCCCCCACAATCTCCCCTACCACACCCCAAAACTCAACTGAAATCAAGCTGATGCCTCATAGTGACCCTATAGGACAGAGTAGAACTTCCCCCAAGAAACCTTAATCCAGTCTCTGTTTCTATAGATTTACCTATCTTGGATTTCATGTACAGAAAAACATTAAAAAATAACAATAATAAAGTAAAAGAGAAAAACTCAATAGAAAAAAACAAAGCAGAAAATATTAAAAATTAGAACAAATTTTAAATGGATCAAAAGGGAGATCAAGTGATAAAAATGTCCATTTTTCACCTCCATCTGCAGTAATCCACTCTGCATAATGGCAATGCTGTTCACATCCCCGTCTGTGGTCAAAGGGGATTCACCTTGGCTTAAACTACGTGTATTTCCCCTTTACTTTTATTTTAAAGCTGAAACAACTTTAAACTGGGTCAAAAGTGATTTCAAATGATAAGATACTACATTTTAACCCAACTCTATCTGCCATAATTGACTTTACGATGCTTTCTGTCTGATGACAAGACTATTCACATCCCTCAACCAGTGTTGGGTGAGCATGGCATTGTCATGCTTTAAAATACTCTCCTGTTGGAATGGAGTGAACCCTTTGTGACATCCATTACCTTTTGTGTTCTTTCTGGGTTCTTCACTGTATTTTAGATAATGGGATGATTAATTGCCTGCTGAGTGAGCAACGTCTCTAAAAGAATACAATAATTCTGTTATTTTTCAGATAATGCATAGAGGATCACAAAGTTTATCTGGCCCTGTACGAACTTTTTTATAATGCTTATTCATCTTTGCATACCAAGTAGCCAAATGGTAAGAGAGTAAATCTAGAAAATAATAAAAAGTGTGAAGGTATAAATAAAGCTATTTCAAGGGCTGGATTTTTTTACTTGTGTCCTTAGGGAGTGTCATTGAGTCAAAGGACTTTATGTGTATAGTAAGTAATATGGGTAGAAGTTGAACTTGTCAGAGTATATCTAATCCCAGTGTATTATTTTCATTTAAATGCCTGGTTCATAGAACTTATGTTTTTTACTGTTTTATAGGAGGTTCGTAAAGTGAATGAAAGCATCAAGTATAACCACCCATTGAGAAAATGTGTTGATACAATACTAAAAAAGGTATGTATTTTCTTTTGAAATATACGTTTATGTCATATTGCAATAAAAGCACCAGAAAAGACTGAGAATATGCTATAACTGAGGTCTTCTGACTTCTTTCCATTGCAAAGAAATCTTAACAATAGCCAGTCATTCTTTATATACACAATGTTATTTTGTATTACAAGTTCACCTTAATTATTGGCAGTATTTTTCATTGAAGATTAGGAGGTATATAAGAAGATAAAATAATTACAGTAACAGGGATAGACTTTACAGTCTATTAAAATGTCTTTGCCCGTGGTCACTAAGGACATCGAAGCTAGTCTTTTCAATCAGCTAATATATGCCATTTAATAACAACATGCAATATTTGTTATTAAATAACATGAGCTATTTAAAAAACCATATAATTAAGACCTTGATTCACTGGTAGGTACTAGGGAGCAGTCATTTACTTCTACAAAAGGTTCTTCTAGGAGAGCCCCCATTGTCTTTGATGCTTCCACAGACCCACTGAAATGGTTCTTTTCCTATGCTTCAGGCCTACCGTATTGATGAGTAACTTGTGTTTCTTTCCTCTAAGATGATTGTCATGAGAATCGAGTCTAATAATTTCTCTCACATTTACTGTCTTTTGAGACTTAATTCAAACAAGCTAAATAACCTGCACAAGTTTAAAATGGATAATAAATGCTAGTAGTTGTAGAAATGACTCTAAATCTTGTATTTGTTTCTCTCTATTATGTCTTTCAAAAATTTAGCATTTTAGATTTGTCACAAGTCTTCATTATTAAACTATGAAAATAGGTTTCATCAGGTATCTGCCTAGAATAAGCCACAAATACTAGTTGCCTCGTGTAGATAAGATCCCTACTCCTACTAGTCCAATAGTAAGTTTAAAAATTAATAGAGATGAAAAGAAAGTTTCTGTGCTTAGAAATCCATTCATCTTTCAAAATATTGTCAAGAAATTGTTAGTATGATGTATTAATCTGGTAGGCATGGTGTGATGTGGTGAATAATTGTTAATGAAAGTTTCGCTCTATCACAACCTCCACTGTTTGTGTAAATAGTGTCCAGTGACAAGAGTTTAACCTGTACAAGTCAACAAGTTACACATTACAGTTTGTAGCTGGGCTACACTTATATAATATCCTGGTTTAAATAAAATATCGTTGGCTGAATTAATGACACTGCCAATAGAATTACCTTATGCCCCAGGCAGATAATCGATAATGTTTTCTAACATAAAATGATGATGATGTATCTAAAGTGAACCAGAGACATACATAAACCATAGATGTGTGAATGGATTTTGGACCAATATTTGATTTTGGCCCCAAGCCAAGAGCAATTAGTTTGTATGACATGACCCTGCTTGATACTGGCCCTCCGGAAGAGATCACTGAAGATATGGGTGCTATAGCAAAGTATGGTGAAGAAATTAGATGGTTCCCAGCTACTAGAAAAAATAGCACCTAGGGTCTTATAGGCTTGTATTCGAACACGCTGCCATCTCAGTAAGGTATGTCAACTAGGCCGACACAGGAAAAGCCCCCCAGCCTGTGTGATCCAAGGATTGTGAATGATAAAATCCAAACTAGAAGGAAAGAAAAGTATCAGAGCTTAATTGTGAACACTGGTTTGTGTAAGGAAATGGAGGACAGTGGAAACCCAAACACCCATTGGCAGGGTCTACATGTGGATTAAATTAAACCTCTGATGAATCTCCTCTGACCATAGAACAGGGATGTGAATAGCCTTGGTATCATGCAGCGTGCAGTGGTTATTTGTTTGTTTTGTTATGTTATTCTATAAGCTGTTTCTCTGTTTGTATGTATGTGAAGTACAGGTTGGGTAGAGTTATGGAGATGTTTACTGCATTGATGATTTCTTGGGCGATATGGCAGGGGAGTGTGGGGGGAAGTGATGAGCTGATGACAGTGAGTACAATGAAGAAGTAAACATTCTAAAGTTGATTTTGGAGATCATTGTTCAAGTCTCTTTAATAAGATTAAACTACTGAGTTATATGATATGTGAAATATATGCCAATAAAATTCTTTTAAAAAATGTTGGTATGTAAAATTAAGTTACTTAGAGCTGCCAAGATTTTTTTTATCTCTATCATTTTATTTATTTATTTATAATTATTTTATTGGGGGCTCGTACAATTCTTATCATAATCCATACATACATCCATTGTGCCAAGCACATATGTACATTTGTTGCCCTCATCGTTTTGAGAAGTTTAAAGATAGCTATAATTTGAGAATTTCTAACAAAAATTTATCTTTTGGGAAATTAACTTTCTAATCTACCTATCATTTTCAGTGCCCTACAGAGTACCAGGAAAAAATGGGTAGGAACATGGATGACTATGAAGATTTTGATGAAAAACATAATACTTACCCAAGTGAAAAAAGTCTCGTAAAATTGCATAAACAGGTAATTTTATGGATTAAGCATAGTTATTTTACTTATTGTTGGTATAGTTAGGTTTTTAGTTAAATGAGTTGGAATCAACTCAGTAGCAATGGGGTTGATTTTGATCTGGTGTATCTGAAACATCCTCAGATTTTGTCCTTATCATTATTCTGTGACGTGGTTTGGGTCTAACTTTGTGTTTCTGCACAGGAGCACTGTTGCCGCTTTGGGAGGGTGGATTGTTCACTGAGCAGAATTGTCACATGTAGTATAGAACATTCACCTCCCTGACCACCCAGTAAATGCCACCTGCACTTCTTTGTTGTGACAAATGAAACATGCGCCCCAGTGGGGATCTGAACCACTCTTGGATCAGAACACTAATGAATACACACTGTCTTGTTTTTCAGGTCATTTACTCCGTTCAGAGGCACCGTCGAACTCAAGTACAGTGGCAGATTCTTTTGGACCAAGCATTTTATCTAGAAGATGTAGCAAAAAATGAGGCCAGTGTAGCCCATCAGTTTGTTCACACCTTCCAGTCGCCAGAGCCAGAAAATCGGTTGACCCAGTACTTTTATAATCCCACAGTTGGTATGAACCTAGTTATGTTTTCAACAATGTCGAGTTGAATTGTGTTTGTATTAAGTACATTTAATTTATAGCTGTGTGGTAAGAATTGAGAGAGCTTTGGAAAGTTTGTGGGAAATGAAATGAAAAAATTAAGGAAATTTTCCAGAAACTTTTTTAAAGCCCCCGTCATATGTATCTGAGAAACTTTCCTTATGAAATAGATATTTTACTCATCATAAAATAACAGTTTTTACTATTACCTCACAAATAATTAGAACTTCTTAAAAAATACTTGGATCCTATACAAAGCATATTTTAAAAAAGAACAACTCACTGCCAACGAGTCAAATCTGACTCATAGCAGCTCTATAAGACAGGACAGAATAGCTGTCCCTGTGGGCTTCCAAGACTGTAACTCAGTAGGAGTAGAAGGCCCCATCTTTCTCCTACACAGCAATGGGTGGTTTTGAACTACTGACCTTATGGTTAGTAGCCAAACCTATAACCACTACTCGATAATGTTTTATCACATTGAATTTTTTTATTTCATCTTAACATAACTACTGAGAAAGAATTTCCCTAAGATCCTCTTAGATCATTTTCATTCATCAGTTTATATACAAAACCTAGACCCACTATTCATTTTTTTACACTGTGGTTATTTATTATACTTTCTTTAAAATGTTATGAAATTTAGAAATTTTAGAATCTCAGACTAGCATAGCACAGTACTTAAACATTTTTACCTTAATTATTCAAACAGTTCACTTGATTCTCTTTTGTGTGTTTGGTTTTGACTATGAAAACTTTTAAAGACCACATAAATAATTCAGATAAATTCCTCAACAAAGATCTGTTCTAAATAAGTGAAGGAATGATGTGCTATTTTCATGAATTCAACAAACACTTAAACACAAAAATGCAGTGTGCCTGGCGTCATTGAGCAAAACAGAAATCCCTGCATCAGCTTTATTCACCACATTTGCTTATGCACTCACTTTGTCATCAGCGATCGTGTCGGGCATCATGGAATGCTAGTTTAATAGAACAAAGTGTTCTTGCATTGAGGGAGTACTTGAGAGGAGGCCCAATGTCCATCTGCTACCTTAATACTAAACCTATATATGCACATAGATCTATTTTTCCCATTGTTATATATAAATATATTTACATATGTACATGCCTATATTTAGACCTCTATAAATGCCCTTTGCCTCCTAGTTCTTTCCTCTATTTCCTTTTACTTTCCTCTTGTCCCACTGTCATGCTCAGCCTTCATTTGGGTTTCAGTAATTCCTCTCGGTTACATTGCCCTTGATCAAACCCTACCAGGCCTCCCACACCCTCCTTGCCATTGATTTTGGATCACTTGTGTTCCTACCATGTTGCTGCCGTTTCTCTCTCTTTTTTTTTAATCATTTTATTAGGGGCTCATACAGCTCTTATCACAATCCATACATACATCAATTGTGTAAAGCACATTTGTACATTCATTGCCCTCATCATTCTCAAAACATTTCCTCTCCACTTAAACCCCCGGCATTAGGTCCTCATTTTTCCCCTTCCTCCCTGCTCCCCCCTCCCTCATGAGCCCTTGATAATTTATAAATTATTATTTTGTCATATCTTACCCTGTCCGACGTCTCCCATCACCCACTTTTCTGTTGTCCATCCCCCAAGGAGGAGGTCACATATAGTTCCTTGTTATCGGTTCCCTTTTTCCAACCCATTCTCCGTTTCTCTTAACCTCGAGTCACACCCCTATCAGTAAGTGAAGATCGTCTTACGTACTTAGAACATATTGTCTGGAGAGACCAGTCTGTCGAGAAGGACATCATGCTTGGTAAAGTGGTGAAAAGGAAGGCCCACAATGAGATGGCCTGACACCATGGCTACAACAATGAGCTCAGGCATCGGAACCATTGTGAGGATGGCACAGGACGATGAGTGTGTCATTCTGTTGTGCGCAGGGTAGCTGTGGGTCAGAATCGACTCAATGGCACCTCCAAACAGCAACAAGCCGGAAGTCCTGACTCATGTAAGACTACTCAGCAGAACTGGTTGTCTCTCCTGTGGTGTGCAGGGTCAGAGTTGGATCCAACCAGAAATAGGGACATTGGAGAGTAATTATCACCAAAGACTATGGAATCTAAACTGGGGAAAGAAGGACCTACAGTATAGAGTATGAGAATATTAAGTAACAACAATATAAAACAGAGTAAGTGGATTGTTAATCCAGGTGGATTCAGTGAAGTTGGAATCCTAGATGTAAGAATTGCTTGTGGAAAATGATCATGAAAATTGAGGTTTTATGGAAGGGTTAGAGTATTAACAAGGAAAGGTGTAGGGTTAATATAGCATAGTGGTTACTCCTTGGGCTAAAACCACAAGATCAGCAGTTTGAAACCACCAGCCACTCAGGAGAAAGAGGAGGTTTTAACTCCTGTTAAGAGTTACAGTCTGGTGAGGCGAGCAGAGCTAGAGATGAGACCAGAGGCTGAACACCCGATCTGACAAGATGGCTGGGCTGCCCCTCAGGATTACCAAGGAAACGCAGCCTTTGCAAGCAGAACCAGTTCCTGGCATGAAAGCAGAACCAGATGAGAGCAGCGCCTGTTACTTTCATGTGGTCATTGCTGGCCCCCAGGATTCCCCCTCTGAGGGAGGGACTTTTAAACTTGAACTATTCCTTCCAGAAGATGCCCAATGGCAGCTCCTAAAGTACGTTTCATGACCACAATTTATCACCCTAATGTAGACAAGTTAGGAAGAATGTGTTTAGAAATTTTGAAAGATAAAAGAGGTCCACAGCACTGCAGATCTGAACAGTTCTGCTATCGATCCAGGCTTTATTAAGTGCTCCCAATCCAGATGGTCCATTAGCAAATGGATGTAGCCAAGCAGTGGAAGACCAGCGAAGCCCCAGGCCATGGAAACAGCTAGAGCACAGACTAGACTCTATGCCAGGAATCATATTTAGGTCGATCTGATCATCGAGAGTGTGCATCACTCCTCCTGATCTGCCAAGACTTCCTTTTTTTTGTTTGCATTTAATGGACACAGTCTTAGAACCATTACTGAATAAAAGCCCAGACATCTTCAGTCTTTTGGTGATTAAATGCACAATTGCAAATCTGTGTTGTCCTGATTCGCTGTTGTAAAGCATGAGCAGAGGCTAGAAGTATCATCTGGATTGTTGTGAAGTGTGTAAAAGCAGTGGCCCCTCTGCCTTTATTCATTTCTTCCCCGATCATGGTCTAAATATAAAGCACTGTGAATGAAGGTAGTTGTCAGGGTTACCTGCAGGGGTGTGGGAGTTTTTCTTTATATTTTGAGGGGGGACAGGTAGTTTTAAATTTATGGGCTCCCCCCCCCCTTTTCGGTGATCTAGTTGCGTTGGTTAAAAGCAGCTAACCAGTTCTTTAGAATATACCCTCTACCCAAGTCTAACTTTTTTTAGACACTGTAGTTGGACAAGCTTGATTGTACCAAAATGGGAACATTAAACATCACAACCCTCACTGATACCATTGTGACTTTGCTGTCAAGTGTAGACTCCTCACTTCAAAAAAAGGCTTGTGGCCATTTTGTATGACTTGTCTGGAACTTCTGTAAATCTTATGTTTTAGTGAAATATTTTTTTTGTTATTCTATTAAAAAAAAAGAGTTACAGTCTCTGAAACCCACAGGGGCAGGTCATCCCTGCCCTATAGGGTCACTATGAGTCAGAATCACCTAGATAGCAGTGAGTTATGGGAATTAATGGATGAGAAGAGATTCAGGAAATGAATGACCAAGGTATTGGAGACTCCACTACTTACATGGATATTGAAATAATCAGAAATTGGACTGAGTTAAAAAAGATAATAAACCAGGAGCTCAAATCTCCGATGGGTCAAATGAAAGGAAAACCTTTTCAATTTTATGAGCTTTTAGAACATTTTTCTAAATCTAAATTAGAGTGAGAAAATCTTGCCAGAAAAGTTACAAAAATATTCTCTATACCTTTCACCCAGCTTTCCCAGATTCTATTTTATCATCTACATTTGCTTTATATTTTTCTATATATATTTATTTCACCTGAATATTTTGAGGATTTTTACTTCTTTTTAAGTGCATCAACATAATATACTTAAAACAAAAAACATTCTCCACAATGATACCCAATAAGTGTTAGTATTTATGTGATTATGCAAGTAAATTATGAATTCATTGTTAAAAAAATTAAAAATACTATCACAGATTATATTATTAAAGTTATTTGTATAATTATCTGATCATACAGATTTATTTGGATAATTGTTTACAAGCCTCTGTTTGCACCTAGTTTCATTATGATTTTTATTAGGATCAATAAACAGAAAATATTTGAAAAACAAGTAAAATAGAGACATTCTCTTACATAACCAAGTACAATTATTAAAATCTAAATTAACACTGATATAAAACTATTCAGAATTTGCTAATTGTCCCAGGATCTTTGATAGAAACTGCCAGATCATGTGTTTGATTCGGTCATCATGTCTCTTTAGTATCCTCTAATCCAGAAATGTCTCAATCTAGAAAATGCAATGCCATCGAGTTGATTCTGACTCAGCCACCGTATAAGACAGAGGAGATCTGCTTCATAGGATTTCGAGACTTTAAATCTTCATGGCACGAGACTGCCATCTGTTGCTCCCAAGGAGCATATAGTGGGTTTAAAATACTGACCTATCAGTTGGCAGCCAAGAGTCCCTGACTTTGAATGTGACCTTGCAGTCTCTGTGTGGTTAGATGAATGCTCTCCATTTTGAGGAAAGGAGACTGCCCCCTTCGGTCATATTCTCACAGCATCCTAGCGGGCACAGCGAATTTGCCCCATCTCTGGAGGTTATTTGGGTAGGGTGGTATCTGCCAGGTTCTTCCTCTATAAAATTACTATTTTTTTCTTTGTTACTAAGTGTATTAGTATTGTAGGATAATATTGAATCCTTTAGGAGCTTTCCTAATCCCTTTTTCCTCCCCTTTTTTTCCAGAATGGTACTGGGAATGCCTTTTACGGCCGTGGTTTCATAGGATACTTGCTGTGATCTTGTCCATCTTCTCTGTGATTGTTGTGTGGTCAGAGTGCACCTTCTTTAGCACGAGGCCTGTCTTATCCCTCTTTGCCGTCTTCATACAGCTGGCCGAAAACACATACAACTATATTTATATCGAGGTCAGTTTAGCATATATTATGGACATTCATAGTTAATCCTTAAGTCTTACAGCATTTCTTCGTATATTTATTCTAGCCATAATAAAAGCAGCAAAGTTGAAAATGCTTTAATTCAGACTGCTGCAAATAAGCTTCCTCAACTAACCCAGACTGCCTTTGAGGGAAGCTGAAAAGGTTCAGAGTAGTGCAAAGTTCTCTCGCGTGAATGCTTGGTTCCCTTTATGCCCGGGAAACTATGTCAATTACAGTCTTGTAATGGAATGGGAAAACAGACTCATGTCGGGAGGTAGATTTGAAACTTAGGGGTGACTGTAGATTATTTTTTCACAATTTCATTTTCTTAGATGTTGAAAAACTTACTTCTGTGTATAGATTTCAGAACTTTAAACATTAGCTGGGAATGAGAGAAATGCTGTGTTAGGGTATAAAGTAACAGTTTACAATCCACTGGTCTTCATTTTGTTTTGTTTTTCAGATTGCTTGCTTCCTTTCCATCTTCTTTCTGAGTATCTGTGTTTATTCCACTGTGTTCCGGATCCGAGTTTTTAATTATTATTACTTGGCTTCACATCACCAGACGGATGCTTACAGCCTTCTTTTCAGTGGCATGTAAGTAGGATGGTGCTGAGAAATAAGACAAATATCTCCATTAGACACATCCTTACAGATTGCCCTTTTATTTCTTGTAATTTGTGGGTGTCCCCCCTAAAGCTGCATTCTTGTGAGCACTTGATTCCCTGGGTGGTGCAAACTTTTAAGTGCTCACCTACTAGCGAGTAGGATGGAGGCTCAAACTCAATGATTGTATGCTGCACACATGGGGTGACCATAAACCATAATGGACTCAATGGCGAGTAACAGTACGACAGTGAGAATACAGTCTTAGGTAGATTCATTGCTTCCCAGTTAAGTGCTGCTTTTGAAGTTTAAGGTTGAAATAGGCATGTCGAGTTAGGAAAGAGAAGAAAAATATGGTGAGCCTGGATTTACCTGTAAGAGGTTGAGTAAATAATAGGAACAAATGGGATTGTAAGGCCTAAGTTAAAATATTCTGCGATTCAGTGCAGAAGACTGGATGGAGGAGGACTAGCACAACAACAGCAACAGCTTTTCTTAAGAGATTAAGAGAGCTCAGAGAGAGAGCACCAGCTTGGCCTACATTTTAAAACCTCCTTGTTGTTAAAGCAGTCAGATTAAGTGTTTATCAAGGTTGGATTGGTAAAGTTTACAGAAGATTCCATATCTGAACTTTTCACTTTCCCTGAAAATAATTATAGACTCACAAGAAATTGCAAAAATTGTATAATAAATCCTTTGTACCCTGGCCCAGCTTCCCCCACTATTCTTGTATACCTATTATACAATGATCAAAACCAGGAAATTAGGACACTGGTGTTAACTATTAACATCACAGACCTTGTTTAATTTATAGCATGTTTAAGCTCTATTCATCTCTGTGTATATAGATTCAGTCTGTGAGGAACTCTGGGGCCATACTGGTTGTGCCTTGGGTTATGATCCACAAGGTCCAAAGTTCAAAACCATCAGCTGTTCAGAGGGTGAAAGACTGAGCTTTCCACTCCTATAAACAGTTACAGTCTCTGAAACTCACGGGGGCAGCTCTGCCCTGTCCTATAGGGTCACCTTGAGTCAGCATCGACCCGATGGCAGTGAGTTTAGAGTTTTTTCCTTAATCTGGACAATTCTTTATCCCTGCCCTTGTCAGATTGACATGTTTTGATACAACTTCAGATGTTTAAAGTACTAAGTAGAATTTGGCTTGATGTCATGGACCGTGGCTTGCTGCTGAGCAGGAAGGCACAGATGGTAAAAGAGAAGCAGCACCTGGCAGAGCCTTCCACAGGTTCCTGGCTCCCAGTGCCATCCATCTGACCCCACCTCATGGAACAGCAGAGGCTAATGCCACCAACTCTGCCAGCCTGAGACTGGGGTTTTGCCAAGTGTGTGGTAATGTTTATAAGGGGGATGGAGTTAATCAGATTTTCAAAAATGTCTTCCCAGCAAATAATGGTAATTCACTTTAAGAAATTAATATGTACAATACAGATAAGTGAAACTAAAGCAGTCAGTAGAATGATTTTAAATATACTTAGTTTTCATATACAAATGTTTTACTGTTTAAATTTTTATATGTATTCTGTTTTAAAATTCTTGCTGCAGGTTATTTTGCCGTTTAACTCCTCCTTTATGTCTTAATTTCTTGGGTTTGACCCACATGGATTCATCCATCTCTCACCAGAATACTCAGCCAACTGCTTATACCTCTGTAAGTACGGTCAGAAAGCAGTTTTCCAGATTCATCATCTAATTTCCCAGTGGTTGGGAAATTCCTCTTAATTCTGGCAGAAAATTTCTGGAGCATTCCTGGGATTCCTTTTCTTAATAACTGAATGTTTTCTTCAAGGTTGGATAAAACCTCACTTTCATCTAGTTGATGCTGACTCTTAGCAACCCTATAGAACAGAGTAGAATTGCCCCTATGGATTTCTGATACTGTAACTGGATGTAGAAATGGAAGTAGAAAGCCTCATCTTGCATCATCATATATTAAAGGAGGAAACTTGAAAAGGGTTTTGAAAAAGATGAAATTAAAAGACACTGAAATGTTCCTTGAACATTGGAATAGTTGTTGAATGTATAATTACTTCTTAACTAGATAAAAATGATTTTAGTTTCTTCTATTATACATTTTTATTGTTGTTGACATAGATTATTGAGCTGAGACATGCCAATAGATAGGACCTAAAATAATATTATTTTATATTTGCTTTTATATTTGTTTGTCTTTAGCCATATGATTTACAGTGATGTTTACAAAATTTTAAGGAGCGTTAGTGGTATGGTCTGTAGCAGTGAGCTGCTAACCACAAAGTAAATACCTGAAGGGGGCTCACACCCTTGTCTCAGGGAACACCAAGACCAGGTCAAAGAACAAAACGAAGCTTTTCTTAAAATCAAAATAGGGTTTATTGAAGGAACAGAACAATCCAGGGTGGGGCAGTACCTTGTAAGGCTTCACCAAAGTGCTGCAGTGAAAGTCAATTCTGACAGAGCTTAATTACAGAGGATCCAGGAACTTATAAGACAATTCTGATTGGTTGATATTTACAAAATCAGATTTTAACAGACACGAGACATTGGTAAAACCCTTCAAACATTAATTTGCTGATCTTAAAATCATTTAACAGCTTTTTCTATGAATATTTCGAAGACCAGCCTTAATGAGTTGTCTTCCCAGGAGCATACTCTTAGAGAGGCAAGGGGAAGGCAGAAAGATACCTGAAGGTTTCCTGAGCTACTGACATTTTAAAAGCTCAGAATAAGCAGTAAACTGGAGGGAAAAAGTGAGTCTAGCCTGTACCTTTGACAGAAGCCTCTTTTGTTACCAATCACCTAGTTCTTTTTAGCTCTTTTATAGTTGGTAAAATAGCCCACAAAGTCAATATGCCCCATCCTACTCTGGCGAGTAGTGGCTAGGGTCTTGAAGCTCATGAGCAGACATTCAAGTTTCAAGTATTGGCTTTTCCTCTCTGGAGGGAAGAAGAGTGAAGAAAATCAGACACATGGACACTACTATTGCAGTGGACTACTGGACCACACAAACATCAGTCTCCACCACCCTGAGACTGGAAGAACTAATTGGTACCAACTGTTTTCAAGGAGATCACAGAAGAAATAGGAGAAAAATGTGGAACAAAACTCAAACTTATGGAAAGAAACCAGGCTTACTAGTCCATGGAGACTGATAAAAACCCTCAGGCCCTTTGTCACCTTTTAGGTCTGGAACTGAACTTTTCCCCTATAAAAGGGATGAGAATACTACTAGAGCTGCTAACCACAAGGTCAGCAGTTAGAAACCATGAGCAGCTCCAAGGGGGAAATATGAGGCTTTCTACTTCCATAAAGAGTTAGTCTTAGAAACTCACAGTCAGCCCTACCTTGTTAGGAGTCAGCCCCAGGGTTGCTGTGAGTCAGCATCGACTCCATGGCAGTGAGTTTGGGAGCAAAGTAGGAAAATTTTAGAATAATCAATCACTTGAGATCAAAGGACAGCATTTCCACAACGTCAAAGTTCAGAGGGAAGGGAAAGCCAGGAAGGGAAACAGGAGACACAGAGGAAGGTGGATAATTGGTGGTACATTGAGGAGTGAGATGAATAAAATATGTGTGAATTGTTGAAGGTAAAAGGTGAGCTGCTCTCTAAACCTTCACCCAATTAATAATAAAAAGGTTTTTTGCGTTTTTTTAAATCTTGTATAAAAGTTTGTTTTTACCTGAAAGGTCCAAATTTATTGCTGTAACTGACTCTAGCAATATTTCTCACGAAGAGGAATACAAAGTATAAATTTGTTCTGATACAATTTATTTTCTTTCTTGCTCTTCAGATTATGGGTTCCATGAAAGTTTTATCCTTTATTGCAGATGGATTCTATATATATTATCCTATGTTGGTGGTGATTCTCTGCATTGCTACTTATTTTAGGTAAGAGGCTAACATCATTCTTCCTCATATTCTCACCCTAATCTGAATGTCCTTTCTCCTCTTACTTTTTGCCATCCAGTCGAGTCTGACTCATGTTGACTCTATTGGACAAAGTGAGTTTCCAAGACTGTAAATTTTTATGGCAGTAGTAAACTTCATCTTTTGCCCGTGGAGAAGCTGGTGGTTTTGAACTGCTGACCTTGAGGTTCGCAGCCCAATGCATAACCCACTAAACCACCATTCACTGATTGGATTAGGTTGTAACTTAATTTTTTTTGTTACTGAGCGAGGAGCTGAGAATAATCTGAAGGACTGTGAGTTACTAGATCAGGCTCTTCTGAGCATATTTTAAGGAAAAGAGAGGTAGAGTTACCTAGGCTACAAAGTAATGAGATTAATTCATTAATGTCAACTCTAAGTAATTCAATATAGCTTGTAAAGCACTTCAAGCACAGCTTCTATCCAGTAATATCAGTGAGTTTTAGGGCTATCCTCCGGAACTCTGGAGGCATAGTGATTACTTGTTAAACTGCGACCTGCAAGATCAGCATCTTGAAATCACCAGCTGCTCTGCAGAAGAAAGACGAGGCTGTCTACTCCCACAGAGAGTTGCAGTCTCAGAAACTCATAGGAGCAGTTCTCCCCTGCCCTACAGTGTCACTGAGTCAGCATTAACTCAACGGCAGGGAGTTTGGTTCTCTTGGTGTAGGGTTTTCCTCACTAGCATTTCTGGGTTTCCAGATGCTTCATACTGTAACAGCACAACAATCACTCACTTACTTTAATCAAGTCCTATCTTACAGGGCAGAGATTTCTAAGGCTGTTCATCTTTATGGAATTGTAATCAGGCAGTGCATGTAGCGCTTCAAGAGAATTTCCTCCTATTTTAGAAACATGGATGTTTTTAATGGGATTTTTTTAAGTTATGGAAATGAGCAGGAATAAGACTCAGAAGGACTAAAGACAAGTGTGCTTGCTCCTAGCACTCTTCCTGCCCTGCTTCCTCCTGCCAGCTGCCCTCATCTTAGACTCTGTACATCAGTCCTTCTTTGCTGTTGAAGTGCTCTGTAGGAACCTATTGCCTTCAAGTCAAATCTGACTTTGAATAACCCTATTCTTGTTAATGTTGAGGCACCATCAGGCCAGCTCCAACTTATAGCAAACACTATTTGGGCCTATATCATCCTTACAATTTTTGTTATGTTTGTACTCATTGCTTATGGTCAGTCACTCCACCTCTTTATTGCTTCCTTTCTACTTTACCAAGATTGATGTCCTCTTCCAAGGACTGGACTCTCCTGATAACATGTCTAAAGTTCTTGAGAAAACGAAATCTTGCCATTTTTGCTTCTAAGAAGCATTCTGGCTATACTTCTTCAAGATAAATTTGTCTCTTAGTTTTGATATTTGTTCTTATGATTGTGAGTTTTGTTCCATATTTCTCTCCCATCTATCCAGGACCTGTTATTGTGATCCCTTTCAGAGTAGTCAGCAGTGAGAGTGGGGTGCCATCTGGGTCTTTAGTCTCGGGGCAATGGAGACTGAGGTTCAAGTCTTCTGTTACTCTTTTGGACTTGGCCTAATGGTTTCCATGCATCTTTGATTTTCTTCATTCTTTTTTCCTCTGAACAAAAAGAAATGAACAGTTGTACCTAAAGTGGCCGTTTGCAAGCTTTTGAGGACCCCAGCTGAGACTCACCAAAGTAAGATTTAGCACTAACTCCCCATGTGCCACAGCTTCTGGGTGTGTAACAAAAGTGATTTAGGTCGAATTGACCAGCTCTCAGGAAATAAATAAATAAATTTGCAGGAGGCTTTCTACTGAATTTTTTCCTTCACTGATATTTGAATATAAGAAAGTAATAAATTGGCTTTTTAGCCTTTTATCATCTTGATAGATTGCTTTTCTGAAGGTATACTAATGGCTTGATTTCATTTGCTTCCATAAGAAGTCTAGGCACAGTACATACCCTAATCAGTGGAGTATTAGGCCTAAATTTCTTAGAAATGGAAATATTTTGATAATACTGAAGAGCAGTTTTCTAAGCAATTTTGAAATGAAATAATGCTTGTCTTTTCATGAATCTATTGTTATTAGCTTGGGAACCCGTTGTTTGAACCTCCTTGGTTTCCAGCAGTTCATGGGAGATAATGATATGACTTCTGACTTAGTTGATGAAGGAAAAGAATTGATCAGACGAGGTAAGATTTGTCTTTTAAAATAATTGAAGAGGGGAGGGATAATACTAGAGTCAAAATATAAACTTGGTGTCTATGGAAGTTTTTAATGGCTTTTAAACTGAAAAAATTACAAACCAGTGCGTTTTTGTTAGCTACAAACTACATACAACATTCTTAGCAAAAATAATTTTAAAGTATAATCATTTTATCTGTCTTTAAGAAATTCTGCAACACATCATTAGTATGTTTACAATGTGGTGTGGTTTCATGTTTGCCTTGAATTGTATTTGCCAAGCTCTACACAACCATAAAACACTATTTTAAGGAACCATCAGTTGACTATTACGTGAGCAATCATTCAAACCAGGCAGTTTTCTGGAAAGCAATGATCGTTAGTGTATTAGGATACCCATCACTCTACTCGATTCTGATTGCAGAATTGAGTGAATTAAATGTGCTGATCTTCAAGTAATAGTAGAATAGGAAAAACAAAACAAATGTATATTTTGGGAACAGTGTTTCTTTGCCATCCACTCTTCCTGGATCCGAGACCTTGGTATGATCATTAATTAAATGTAGGCCCCCCCAAAATGTATTGCAGCTCCACCATAGACCAGAGCAGCCTCTACATGCTTTCGTAGGGTTGAGGAGACTATATGATGTAATAGTTTTACTGCTGCCTGTGGTGATGAGATTGCTGTGGAGTATCCTGTCCGGTTTCTGGGTAGGATTTTCAGGAATAGGACTGATAAGTCAGGAAGTCTGTAGAAAAAGACAGCCAGATTTCTGAGTCTGTAGAACCTCTGCTGTGACTAAAGCCACTGAAGAAAAAGACTTTTGTAGAAAGAAGAAGGGTATGCATTTAATGTAAAAGACAGGGCTAAATGAAAACAGGCAGAAGTTAGGAGAAGTAAATTTCAAGTCACCGTGATAAAGAACTTTTCACTTCACGGAAGCACTTAGGCAGAGGTCAGATGGCCATCTCCAACAAAAGTGGAGAAGGTATTCCCAACATTCCCAGTAGGGCCCTTTTCAAGAATAACTATTACATTTGACTTCTGGAATTTAAAACTGGGCATCGCCTGATACAGTACTTGTTACTCTGCTTCTAATTCCACCATGATGTAACCAAATCTAAGACTCCTTTTCTGTCTCTAGAGAAGCGAAAAAGGCAAAGGCAGGAGGAAGGTGAAAATCGAAGAAGAGTAAGTACAATGCTTATTAATATTACTCTGAAATATCATGAAATTAATACTGATTAGAATTAATTAGCTAAGGCCCAAATAACAGTGAGATATTGGCACAGGATATAATTTTTTAAAGGCAGATGATGCACAGCGGTACAGATGGGAATTGGAAACGCACGGAATCTAGGACAGATGAACCACTCAGGACCTGGGGTGACAGTGCGATACCAGGAGGGAAGGGGGGTGTAGAAAGGGGGAATTGATCACAGGGAGCTACATATAACCTCCTTTCTGGGGGATGGGCAACAGAGGGGTAGGTGAAGGGAGACGCCGGGCAGTGTAATATAAGATATAATAATAATTTATAAATTATCAAGGGTGCATGGGGGAGGGGGGGAAAGGAAAATGAGCTGATTCCAGGAACCCAAGAGGCAAGCAAATTTTGGGAATGATGAGGGCAACAAATGTATAGATGTGCTCTACACAATTGATCTATGTATTGTGATGAATTTTATGAACTCCAATAAATTGATTAAAAAAAAAAAGGTAGTGTCTGATATGCATTTAATTTATGATATACATGTCAGAGATCTTCTGGACCTGTTCTAAAAAGTCATGAATTCATTATTTCATTTTGTCCAGCACCTAATACAGTTTCTTAGGTAGGTGCTCAGTAGATATGTATTGAATGGATGAATAAATGCAATCTTGCTAGTAAGGTGTTTCTTACTGTTTAAAATTATTATGCTTTTTTGTAATAGTGGCATTAATTTTATTCTGTGATTTTTCTTCAATCCTCCTTTTGTGGAGGGGGGAAGCTAACTTCCTTTTAGAGATAGAAAAGTTTAGTCAAAGTTCCTACAGATTTTCCATATAGATATATTTATACTGAAGAAGTGAAGACTAAGGAAGAATCAAGATAGTTGTCTTCATGTGTTTTAGAATTTATCATTTAAAGGGGGCATTTGTGTATTTCAGAAGTCCTAACTAGACTCCCAAAGTAGAAGTTTCAAAAACCTCTGTGTGAGAATCTCTGGCTTTTAAAATTAACCAAAATTGCAATAGACTCGCAGACCTAGACATTTCTGTGCCATCTGGTAGGAGAGTCTAAAAGAAACTGCCCTGGATATTTTAGAAAGAAATTGCACTGCATGGGAGGGTGGATTAGGTGAGTTCTCTGGGCCCTTTCCATTCCTAGTTTTTAATGAGAAGAATCTCAGTGAGTAAATAGTTGTACAGTGGTTCAGAATAATCCCAATAGCATGTGAGCAATAGTATGATTATGTTTGTTTATAATTTTAATTTCACCATGGAAAATAACTTTTTAGACCTCTAAGACTTAACAGTTGATTTGAGTGAAAAAAAAAATTCTTAACATCTCATTAGCCTATTCTCATAAAACCTACACCTCGTCAAATTAAGCTTAATATAGTTTTAATGTGGTTTTGACATTTTAGATAAAAGAATTTGATGATTTAACAGTCATTCATAGCTAAGAAAATGTCTATAAAGGTCCTTATTTGTGAAAGTTAAGTGTAGAGATTATTAAAATCATGTAAAGATAAAAAATGGGACCTTATTTTTAAACATACTGTGCTAATTTTAAAGAGCCTGGTGGAGCAGTAGTCAAGCTACTACCTGAAAGGTCTGCAGCTAAAACTCTCCAGTTATTCCATCAGATTAAGATGTGGCCGCCTGCTTCTGAATGCATGAGAGCTTAGGGAGCTCCCTGGGGGATTTCTACCTTGTCATATGGGATCACTGTGCATCAGAATTAACTTGGTAGCTCTGATTTTGGTTTTATTTTTGTTTGGGGGCATTTCTTTGGTATGCTAATTATTGATTATCTTATTAGTTTCTAATAAAAAGAATTTATTTGACAGACCTGGAACTATTTATAG